CCGCTGGAGGTGTGGGTGGCGCTGGTACTGTCGCTGAGGGTGCTGGTGCTGTCCCTGCTGAGTCTGGAGCTGCCGCGCGGCCTCGGCCGTACTTCGTTCCGCTCCTTCAGCAGGTTCTTGGTCTTTCTCCTCCAGTAGAGGGTCCACCGCCTGTCCAGTCGCAGCCCCTACTGGAGCCTTCCTCTCCGCTGCCTGCTCCGTCTCCTTACACTGGTCCTACTGGAGGTCTTGCTGAGCGTCGTGAGCCTGCGTCTCGTCCCGCGTCGCCTGTTCGTGCTGCTCGCGCTAGTGGTCGCAGTTCGCGTCAGCGTCCTCCTCCTGTCCCTGGCACGCACCGGATGTCTTTACGTCCGTCCACTGCTCCTCTGCGTGCCCCTTTGCCTTCTCCTCCTGAGTCCTCTCTTCCTGCGCTTGCCGACCCTGAGTCGGACTCTCTTCGTGCTGCCAGTCCCACTGTCACGCGTCTGCTTGCTACTGTCGTCACTGACCCCTCTTTTGAGTCCACTGCTGCGTCTGCTCTAGTCGCTGAGCTCGTCGACTTTGCTGCTCGCTGTCGTCTCGACTACGCTGCTAGTCTTGTTGCTGAGTCTGCGTCTGTCTGTCCTCCGTCCGTCGGGGGTGAGTGTGCTCTTGGCACGGACGTCCTAGAGGACAGGCAGGAGGAGTTACAGTGTCTAGCGGCTGCTTCACCTCATCTCGCGTCTGTACTGCTTGCCCCTGAGGGAGACCCGGATGCACTAGACATCCCGACTCCGCGTTCTTACGCGGAGGCCGTAGAGGGTCCCTACTCCTCTCAGTGGCAGGCAGCTATGGATGCAGAGATGGCTTCCTGGAAGTCCACAGGCACCTACGTTGACGCGGTTCCCCCTCCTGGGGCGAACATCGTCAGTGGCATGTGGATCTTCAGGGTGAAGCGGCCGCCGGGCTCTCCACCTGTCTTCAAGGCACGGTACGTTGCTCGTGGCTTCAGTCAGCGGCAGGGAGTTGACTACTTTCAGACCTTCTCTCCCACCCCGAAGATGACTACTCTTCGGGTGCTGCTGCACATAGCCGCTCAGCGCGACTACGAGCTTCACTCTCTCGACTTCAGCACTGCTTTCTTGCAGGGTAGCCTGCACGAGGAGATCTGGCTTCGCCGTCCACCTGGCTTCACTGGGACTTTCCCTCCTGGCACCCAGTGGAGCCTCCGACGGCCAGTCTACGGTCTCCGCCAGGCACCGCGTGAGTGGCACGACACACTGAGGACTACGCTTGCGGCTCTTGGGTTTGCTCCTTCTACTGCTGACCCGTCGCTGTTTCTTCGCACCGACACTTCCCTGCCGCCGTTCTACATCCTCGTGTACGTCGACGACCTGGTCTTTGCCACAGCGGACACTGCTGGACTCGCCTACGTGAAGTCCGAGCTGTTGAAGAGACACACGTGCACAGACCTGGGTGAACTGCGCAGCTACCTTGGCTTGCAGATCACTCGGGACAGAGCACGCCGCACCATTACCTTGACTCAGTCACACATGGTGCAGCAGGTCCTTCAGCGCTTCGGCTTCACGTACTCCTCGCCTCAGGCCACTCCTCTGCCTACTCGCCACTCACTCTCAGCTCTGCCTTCGGATGAGTCCGTAGAGTCGAGTGGTCCGTATGCGGAGCTTGTTGGCTGCCTCATGTACCTGATGACCTGCACACGACCTGACCTTGCATACCCTCTGAGCATTCTTGCACGCTATGTTGCTCCTGGGAGACACAGACCGGAGCACATGGCTGCAGCGAAGAGGGTATTGCGCTACCTGTGCAGTACGTCAGGCATGGGGCTAGTGCTTGGAGGGCGGAGTCCAGTGGTCCTTACCGGCCACGCGGACGCGTCTTGGGCTGACGACCAGGCTACGCAGCGGTCGTCACAGGGTTACACCTTCAGCCTTGGTTCCGGCTCTGTCTCGTGGCGGTCTACTCGCTCGTCTTCGGTTCTCGGCTCCAGTTGTGAGGCTGAGATCTACGCCGGGGCCATGGCTGCACAGGAGCTTCGCTGGCTCACCTACCTGCTGACTGACCTTGGAGAGCCGCCTCGTTCTCCTCCAGTGCTGTACGTAGACAACAAGGCTATGCTGGCCTTGTGTCGAGAGCAGCGCTTGGAGCACAGAACGAAGCACATTGCTCTCCGCTACTTCCTTGCTCGTGAGCTGCAGCAGCGTGGTCAGTTGCGACTTGCGTACGTGGCCTCTGAGGCCAACACTGCTGATGTGTTCACCAAGGCACTTGCGCCTTGTGACCATCAGCGCTTCTGCACCCAGCTGGGTCTTGTGCCTGTCTTGCCTCACTTGCTCTCCTCTTGACTTCACTTGTACTGTGACATATATCTATATACCTGCTCTTGCTTGTCTAGCTTTATATATATGTCTGTACTCTTGCTTGTGAACTGGCCTTTGGCCTCACTCTTGTGCTCGGACTGTGTGGTGACTTTGTGATCCACCCTGAGCTTTGCTTTGTCTTGCTTGACTGGTCTTGTGACCCCTTGTTCTCCCCCACTTTGCCTATGGGGGTGTGTCAGAACATATCTATAGCTTATACTGCTGTGTAGGCTGTAGTGGGGTATCCCATAGGGGGTACAACCCAGTTAGGGTTTCACATTTGTACTGCTTTCATTCATAGTTCATCCATTCCTGTTTTCCTACTATCACAGTTGACTGTTGACGATTCGGGCAGTGTGTACGCGGGTGTCCTGAAGTTTTGCAGATGTGGCAGAACGGAGGTACTGGCTTCGGTTGTTGCTGCCGATTGTTGTTGTTGTTGTAGCGTCGCTGAGTGTGGAGCGCGAATTCCAGTGCTGATGTCTTCTTTTTGTGTCGTTCTTCTTGCAGGTCCATGTCTTGTTGCTCGGCGTGGATTTCGGCGCAGAGCGCTGCTTCGGAGATTCTTCCATGAGCTCGGAGGATAGCCTTTGTGGCGTGCCATTGAGGACTAAGGCCGCCGATGATGACTATCACGAAGGCGTCTTCAGAGATCGACCCTCCGCATCGAAGAATCTTGTCGCGCAACTCGCGACATCGACTGATATACGCCATTCCTTTCTCCCCTGGTTTCATTTCAACCGTTGTCAGTTGCGCCATTAACCGACTTTGACTTACGCTGTCTGTTGCTTGATACAGGCTCTTCAGGTGGTTGTACGCGAGCTCCGCGGAGTTGCCATAACCTCGGTAAGTCCTTATGTTCTGCTGTTGAGTCGGGGTGATGTTCCTCAATAGGATCGTATACGCCATCATTGACTGATAGGTGTACTGCTGCTTCTCGTACTGTGTGCCGTTTGTTGGGTATGGCAGAGACCCGTCAAAGAACCCGAGTATCTGCGCGCCTTCCATCATCAGCTCGAACTCGAATGACCAGGTGAAGAAGTCCTTTCCATCAAAGGGTCTTGACGTCTGCATCTTCAGAATGTGAGCGAACTGCGACTGAACTTGCAATGCGTCCAGTGGTTTTTCTTGTCCAGGTGAGGGCTGTGGGTGTGGCATGAAGCTGATGGACCCGCGCTCGTACGGAGCAAAGGTAGGCTGCTGTTGTTGATTTCCTCGTGCATATGATGAGCCGTCGAGACTCATGGGTGTTGCTCCGTTGTTGTTGCTGTTGTGTGACTGCGCAAGTGCTGATTGCTGGTGTTGCTCGTAGAAGGACATGAAGGAGAAAAACTTCTCCATCATGCTCTGGTCGAAGTCTGCAGGTTGATTCGCGGGAGTCTCGGTAGATGTTCCTCTGGGTCTTGCTGCCGTGCCCTGCTCTGTTTGTAGGCCAGAGGCAGGAGGTGGAGTAGGAGTAGTTCCCTGGGAGCCGTTGGAGTTGCTCCTTTCTTTTTGTGTAGCCATGCTGATTGATACTGTTGGTATAGAAGTTGAATCCCCCCTGATAGCTCTCATACCATGTAGGGCTGAAAAAGGCCGTTAGGATCTTTGCAGGGGTGAACTCTGGGTAGAGTTGGTGTAATAGCGGAAGCGTTAATAAAGTGTTGTGAACCACCTTGCGCTAGTATGTGAGAGCAAAGTAAGTTGATTAAAACAAGGAGATACAAGATTATATATGAATACAGGGAATATGAAAAGACACAGTTATAACTACTTTACTGTTGCTGTTGCGGTTCGATACAGTGACGACTCGGGCAACTGCTCTGTAACGAGTCAGTTGTGTGTCCTTGCTGTCGCGCTGTACTTGTCAGGTCAAAGGTCACTGACCTTTGACTTTCGCGTAACCTCCAGCGGTTACTTCAACCTCCGAGGGTTGACTCGCTGGTTCCTCGATATGCTTTGCTTCGCTTGTGCCTTAGTGTTTCGACACGACAGAGGCGCTTAGGACCGATTGTTTCCAACAGGAACAACAGAGCCCCTCATCTCCGAGTGCGGTGACAAGAATTAGAGAGAGTAAGTGATGCAAGTCCTCGTGGTGCTGGTACTGCCCTCTGGGATACAGCCTCTGCTCTGCACATACTTAGTGGATAGTAGATGGTCGTCTTGCTGTGTGATGGTTCGGTTTGGGTTTGCTTTGCTTTGCTTGTGCCGAGTCTGGTTCTAGCCTTGGTGGTGTGATGGTTCGGTTTGGTTTAGTTGTCTGGGTTTGCTTTTCTTTGCTTTTGCTGAGTCTGGTTTGGACGGGAAGGGTTTGGATGCTTGCAGGGAACATTCATTTGTCTTGTGCTCTGTCTTGATTAAACCCTTGTGGTAATAAAGCATGTCGTTTCTTTATGTCAAATGGTGAAGACAACTATTGTTAACACAGAGCATCAGATGACGGACAATAGTAAATCCCCGAAGCCCACGTCTCTCCTTTCCACTCCACCTCTTCCCCTCTTTCACACTCCCCTCGCCTCCTTCATTTAGCGCCCAAAGAATCCAGTCCAGGTGCAGAACATTGGAGCAGCGCAGCATGTGCCTCAGGTTGAATGATGAATCTTATCATCTAACTACGAGTCACAAAAAAAAACAGCAGAACAACATGAGCCATGGGCCGCTGAAAGATGGATCTAGCATTTACGGTAACCACACCAACCCTTCTCTCTTCTGTGCCACCTCTGCTTCCTCTCCCCCTCCCTCGTCCTCCTCACCATCCTCTGCTTCCTCCCCCACTTCCTCCTCCCTACCCACCTCACTGTCCTCTCCTCTCCCGTCCTCTCCACTGCCCTCCCCCCTCCCATCCAGCGCCCACTTCACTCTTTCCAAAAACAGCTCATCAGAGCAGCACAGCATGTGCCTCATGTTGAACTTCACATGAGCATGTGTCTGTGTGGCAGACTACCCTGAGCCTGCTCTCTTTCTCCACCTCTCTCCCCCCCCTCTCCTTCCTCTGATTCATCCCTTTTTCTTCGTCCTCTTCACCCATCTCAGTCTCCTCCCCACTCTCCTCTCCTCTCCCCTCCAGCGCCCACTTCACTCTTTCCAAGAATAGCTCATCGGAGCAACACAGCATGTGTCTCAGGCCAAAAGACAGCCCTTACTGCTGCAGCAGGTTGAATGCATGAGCTTAATAAGCTACGCTTGCTCCCTTCTCCTCCACATCTATTCCCCCTTTTCCTCCTCTCCCTCCTCTGCTTCCTCCCCTTCTTCCTCTTCCCCTTCCTCTTCCCCTTCCACCTCATTTCCCTCTCCACCTCCCTCTCCTCTCCCCTGCAGCGCCCACTTGACCCGCTCTAAGAACAGCTCATCTGAGCAGCACAGCATGTGTCTCAGGCTGAAGGACAGCCCTTGCTGCTGCAGCAGGCGGTGCCTTGGAGCAATGCGCGTGTCCAGGGCATAGCTGAAGAATCTGTGAAAAGTGGGCATGAGACGAACATAAGAAGAGGGCATGGGAAGAGGGCATCAGACCAGAGCAGCAGAGCATGTGTCTCAGGCTGAAGGACAGCCCTTGCTGCTGCAACAAGTGGTGCCTCGGAGCAATGCGTGTGTCGAGTGCATAGCTAAAGAAGCTGCTTGGAAGGAGGGAGGAGACACGGTGGGTTGGAAGAAAGTGAGGGGCATGGGAAGTGGGCATCTGAGTAGCACAGCATGTGTCTCAGGCTGAACGACAGCCCTTGCTGCTGCAGCAGACGGTGTCTCGGAGCAATGCGTGTGTCCAGATCATAGCTGAAGAATCTGGTTTGGAAGAGAGAAACAAGGGGAGGGCGGAGGGGGGCGGAGACTAACAAGTGAACTCGATAGTTTTCGGGGAGCAATGCGTGTGTCCAGGGCATTTAGGAAGCTGCTTGGAAAAAGGAACAGGAAGGGATTAGAGGGCAGGGTGTGGGGGAGTGATGGATATGGGCCGGGTGTGACCAAACCTCAGGGTCGGACCGTCAGAGGCTGATAGCAGGGGGTGCCAGGGAGGGAGCAATGATACCCCCCTGCTTGGGTAGGAGCAATGCTTCACACATTCTCCTCTGCCACCTCCTCCGCCTGCTGATCACAACACTGAACCGTACTGCACCGTAGGATGCATACTATACCATACCACACTGCACCCCGTAACATATCATACCCACTGTGGGAAGGTGACTAGATGGTCGAGGCGCATGGTCCTCGAGGATTGCTCCATTTGGAGAAATCCCGCCATTTGGGGCTCCAGGATTTCTCCGCCATGGCCCCCACGCTTCCACCTTCTCCACCTGCTGTTCACCACACTACACCATACTGCACCACCATAAAACCACATCATGCTGTCCCCTACCTCTACTGTATCGCACTACCAGTGGGAAGGCAACCAGATGGTTGACGGTCAGGCGCATGGTCCTCTGGAAGTAGCGCCACTTGGGCTTCAGAATAGCCGAGGGACTGTAAACTCCCTCCTCCTCCTCTGCCTGCTCCTCCTCCTCACATCCTCACATCCTCCTCCTCCTCTGTTAACTCCCCACATCCTCCTCCTCCTCTGCCTGCGCTTCACCGCACTGGACCGTAGGAAGCCTGGACCGTACCCCCATGGACAGCAGGAAGCGCACTACCGGACGAAGCCTGTCGTCCTCACGTCTTCCTTCTCTGCCTGATCCTCCCCGCACAGAACCGTACTGTACCATAGGAGAGAAACCTTTAACCCCACACTCACCATGGGAAGGCAACCAGATGGTCGACGGTCAGGCGCATGGTCCTCTGGAAATACCGCCACTTGGGCTTCAGAATAGCCGAGGGGTCCTCTTCTGCCTGCTCCTCACCACACCGAACTGAACCATGCTACACCCTGTCGCACTCACCGTGGGAAAGCCACTAGATGATCGACAGTCAACCGCATGGTCCTCTGAAAATACCGCCACTTGGGCTTGAGAATAGCCGGATTGTACTTGAGCAGAGGGGGGAACTGCACCACCATGCTCCCCACATCTTCCCTCACTACGCCCATGGATAGCAGAAAGCGCACTAGCGGACGAAGCCTGTCGTCCAGATGGCACGCCACCAAGTCCGGCCGAGCCACCACGACCTTCCAAACCTCGTGGTCCGGGACTCCTGCTTCGGTGACGAGGAACCGAACCTGAGGAAGCGGGGTTGGTGTGAAGCAGGTAGGGAGGGAGAATATCGGTTCAGCTTGTGTGAGCTGTGGCTTGGCTAGTAAACATTTGCAGATGCAGCAGGTCGTGTTTTGAGTCGACTCAAAACATGGCTTGGCTTGTAAATATCTGCAGATGCAGCTGGTTTGTGAGAATTCTCAAAACCACCTGCAACAGCTAAGCTTGCATGAGCTGTGGTGTGGGGGGCAGATGCACGACTAATGGAGCCAATGGTTGGGAATATGGGCACAGCTAAGCCAAGACGAGTGGCAGAAACATCTTCATTGCATGGTTGATTGATGGCAAGCGCAAGACAAGACGAGCTGCCTCAAAGGCTACTACCACTCAGCTCACCAGTGGTCTTATCTTCTTGTCGAGGCTGTAGGTGAGGATGGGTGGAAAGCGGTGCAGAACTCCCGCTACATCTGCCTCGGGAATCCCGATCAGCCGGAGGAAGCGAACCTGAGAGGACCAAGAGATGAGAGGCACACTGGAAGAGTGAGGATTTACTTCCTGGCGACCACCGACCGGGGCGGATAACAAGTCACTCACAAGTCACCTCGGCAGCTGAAGCACCTAAGAGCTTGTCCCTCGGCAACTGACATGTACCAGAAGCACCCTTGGTCTAATTTTGAGTCGACCCAATGATAGCAAACGCATACATTAAGAACCTGTCCGTTCCTCACCTCATCCATACCTTAGATGAGACATCCGCTTGCACTGTGAGCTGCAGCACCTTTGGGTTTAGGTCACAGATTTGCACCTTCTGCACCACCATCTCCCTGATCTGATTTGAATGTAAGTCAGATCAGACCCTGCGGGTGGTCAAAGCTCATTCATACCACATGTCTGCCTGAACGGTGAGCTGCAGCACTTCGGGTGGTGCACCACCAGCTCCCCAGCCTGATTCCAACGCTGGTCAGTCTCACAGCAGGTGCTGGTGGTGACATCGCAGCACCATAGCTACCTTATGGTATGACCTCATCCATACTTAACCACATCCATATCTTGGAAGACACATCCGCCTGCACTGTAAGCTGCAGGACTTTCGGGTGGCGCACCACTATCTCCCCGGTCTGATTTGAACGGCATGCACTCATCCACACCCATCTGTACCCATACGTACACATCCATACCTTAGAAGACACATCCGCCTGCACTGTAAGCTGCAGCAATTTTGGGTGGCGCACCACCATCTCCCGGATCTGATTTGAAGGTAAGTCAGCTGCAGAAGGCACCCATCCACACCCATCTGTACCCATACAAGACCACGTCCATACCTTGGGAGACACGTCTGCTTGCACTGTAAGCTGCAGTACTTCCGGGTGGCGCACCACCATCTCGCCGATTAGGTTTGAACGGCATGCACTCATCCACACCCATCCGTACCCATCCGTACCTTGGGAGACACGTCTGCCTGCACTGTAAGCTGCAGCACCTTTGGGTGGCGCACCACCATCTCACCATCTCTCCTATACCTCACCCATACCTTAGGAGAGACATCCGCCTGCACGGTGAGCTGCAGCACCTTTGGGTGGCGCACCACCATTTCCCCGATCTGCGTGTTGGTGAGCCCCAACAGCGAGAGGTAGCGAATCAGCAGCTGCCACGTGGCGTCCAGCGAGCTGCTCAGCAACTGCGGGCGGCGCACGATGACTTTAGCGAGGCCCACTCCCCTGATGTGGAGCGATTCGAAGAATGCGAGCTGGCATTTGAGGGGGGAGAAAGGGGAGGGGTGGGTGGGGACAGGGGGAAAGGGGGAAAGGGGCGTTGAAATTCTAACAGCTTATAGTGGGCGCTGCACGATGACCTTTGCCAGGCCCACTCCTCTAAAATGTAGAGACTCGAAGAAGGCGAGCTGGCGACTGAGGGAGGTGAGAGAGGACGGGACGACTTTTAAATCCACTAAAAAGTCACCTCGTTACAATGGCACACAATACGTAAGGACTGAAGAATGTGAGCTGGTAATGGAGTGAGGAGAGGGGGGATTTGGGGGGGGTGGGGAGGGTGGGGTGGCGGAGAGAAAGTGGGCAGAAAGTCAGATGGAATTAGTTGCAGCAGCTGCGGGCGGGCGCAGTTTTGAGTCGACTCAAAACACAGCTGCGGGCGGGCGATTCAGTGAGGAAAAGGGGGATGTGGGGGTGGGGGAGGGAGGGGATGGAGGCGGTGGTGCTGGAAGGAAGTAGTCTCGCAGGCAGAATCTGGAAGGACTCTAGTATGCTTCTCACCTTGACCTGAAGATCCATTTCTCTCATCAGCACACTGTGCCAGCCACTGTGCCAGCCACTGTGCCAGCCACTGTGCCAACCACTGTGCCAGCCACTGTGCCAGCCACAGTGCCAGCCACTGTGCCAGCCACTGTGCCAGCCACTGTGCCAGCCACTGTGCCAGCCACAGTGCCGGCCAGCTCAGACACAAGTTTAGGCAACAGATGATGGTGGAAGGAAGGAGAGTGGCGGGCAGGAGTTAGTACGGAGTATGTGAGAAGTTTAGCATGTCTCTCACCTTCGCCTGCAGTGCCTCCATGAGGAGTACATCCTCGTCGCTCATCACGTGAGGGTGGTTGCACACCACTGTGATGCCAGCTCCACCACACGTTAAGGCAATGGGTGGTGCTGGAAGGAGCCTGGCTAGCAGGAGACTGGACGGACCCCATCCACTCCAGCATGACTCCCGTATCTTTGCCTGCAGTGCCTCCATGGGTAAATCCTCGTCACTCACGACGTGAGGGTGGTTGTACACCACTGTGCCTGCCAGCTCCCATACACCACTGTGCCACTCTCAAACACACTTTTAGGCACCAGGTGGTGCTGGAAGGAAGGAGAGTGGCAGGCGTCTGCTTGGACCCTGCATGTGCCATGTCGCTCACCTTCGCCTGCAGTGCCTCCATGGGTAGATCCTCGTTGCTCATCACGTGAGGGTGGCTGCACACCACTGGGCCCGCCAGCTCCCTCACACTCTTGGGCAACGGGCGGCGCTGGAAGGCAGCTGACAGGCGTCTGGACTGGACTGGGGGCAGGCACTCTGAATGCGCCCTGTTTCACCTTTGCCTGCAATGCCTCCATGGGTAAATGACCTCCGCCCATCACGTGAGGATGGTTGCACACCACTGTGCCGGCCAGCCAGCACCACCACGCGCTTGGGCAACGGGCGGAGCTGGAAGGAGGCTGGCAGGCGGCTGGACTGGACTGGAGGCACTGGTAGTCTGAACTGAATGCGCCATGCCTCTCACCTTTGCCTCAAGTGCCTCCATGGGTAAATCCTCGTCGCTCATCACGTGAGGGTGGTTGTACACCACTGTGCCGGCAAGCTCCCACACGCTTTTCGGCAACGGGTGGTGCTGGAAGGAGTCTGGCAGGCGGAGAGCTGCAGGGATGTCTCGAGAGGCGAGGGGGGGGAGAGATAGAAGCAGCGACTCTGATTCTCCACCTGCTGCTCTTTTCTGTGATGCTGCACTTGCATCTGCTGCTGCTCTTCTGTCTGCTGCTGCTCTTCTGTCTGCTGCTGCTCTTCTGTCTGCTGCTGCTCTTCTGTCTGCTGCTGCAGCTGCTCCTGCTGCTGGGATTGTGGTTGTTGCCATTGCCTCTCGTTCCCTTCCCTCCCTCTCCTCGCTTTCCTCCCTCTCCTCGCTTTCCTCCCTCTCCTCGCTTTCCTCCCTCTCCTCCCTCCACTCCCTCAACCTTGCCTCCTCCTCCCATTCCGCCTCTCTCACCCTCCTCTCCCTCTCCCGCTCCTCCCACTGCTCCCGCTGCTGCGCTGCCAGCGGCTCAAGCATAGCATGCAGCAGCCGCCCCTTTCCTAGAAGCTTCTCAAATGGATCCACCAGCACGCCTGGCGCCTTGCTGAGCACCACTCCTACCCACTCCCTCCGCACACCCACTTGGTCGACCAGGTAGTCTACTCGGACCTGGAGCAAGGGGAAGAGAGGAGGGAGATACCCGATGAAAGGCATGGCGGAAGGTACACGGGAGAGGGAAGGGGGGAAATGGGTAAGCGAGGAGAAAACCGTAAGAGATTCCACCAGCACGCCTGGCGCCTTGCTGAGCACCACTCCTACCCACTCCCTCCGCACGCCTTCTTGGTTGACCAGGCAGTCCACACGAGCAGGATAAAATGCACAAGAGACAAGACCACACACAGCAGGATATGAGTGAGGAAGGTATAAGAGAGTCCCTCAGCACGCCTGGCGCCTTGCTTGGTTAGCACCACCCTCACTCAACCACTCCCAACCACTCCTACCCACTCCCTCCGCACCGCACGCCCACTTGGTTGACCAGGCAGTCTATTCGGTATGGGTGTGACAAGAATGGCAGGATTGAGGGGTTTAGGGGGATAATACCTGAAGCTGGTGGATGGGTGCAGCAAGGAGGGTTGCGCACGGCAATGCGGCCCACCACATCATGCTTCACGCCTGCTCGGTGCAACCATTTGATGTCATCCCTCACCCACTTTGCACCACCCACGCACCCACACCACACCACACCACACCACACCACACCACTGCACACTGCACCCCGCCCACCCACCCGCCCTCTCATCATGCTTGCCGACCTACCCACCTGAAGGTCATGAATGGGCGTGGCGAGGATGGCAGGGTTGCGCACGACAATGCGGCCCACCACATCATGCTTCATGCCTGCCCGGTGCAACCACTCGATGTAATCCCTCACCCACACCACACCACGCCACTTCCCACTGCACCCCACCTGCCCACTCACCCAACCTTGCTCATGCCGACCTCAAGGTGCAGTTTAAGTGCTGCGAGGATGGCAGGTTGAGGGTTCAGGGGTTTCGAGTTGAAGGGGTTACCTGAAGGTGAGGGATGGGAGTGGCGAGGATGAGATTGATTTTGGATGCGCCCCAAACAATTCTCAAAATCAATCTCAAACAAAGAGGATGGCAGGGTTGCGCACGGCAATGCGGCCCACCACATCATGCTTCACGCCTAATCGGTGCAACCGCTCCCATGCCCGCTCGTGCGGGCTACCCACCTGAAGGTCGTGGATCGGTGTGGCAAGGATGGCAGGGTTGCGGACAACGATGCGGCCCACCACATCATGCTTCACCCCTGCTCGGTGCAACCACTCGATGTAATCCCGCACCCACACCACACCACTCCGCCGCTCCTGCTCCTCCCCCTCACGCGGCCCATCTCGTCTGGCAAGGGCATTTCCCCCCACAGCAGAAACAGCATCAGCAGCAGCATCAGTGGAATCAGCATGCATGGCGGCAGCGAGAGTGATGAGGGCGGCAGTGCGGGCGAAGGTCTGCTTGGCCGTCTGCTTCAGCCACCGCGCGAGCAGGTGCGGTGCAGAGCGGTGCACTGCGATGGCCGCGCGGTGGGGGAAGGAGTGGAAGGTGTAGTGCGGATCGGACTTGAGGGCTACAGCCTGGGGAAGGGGATGGGGGGTTGGGGGGAAGAGAGTGAGCGGAAGGGGGAAGAAAACGTGTCCGGTTCTGTTTTGACAGATTCACCCCAACACACTTTCACCAGTTTCACCTGTACGAACGCTGGCAAAATTGCCAATACTAGAGATCCCACCAGTAATGCAACTGGAGTCTTACCTGAAAAAACACCTGAAATCCACATGGGAACGCACCTGAAACCCCGCCAAAAACCCACCCGGAGATCTACATGGAAATCCATTTTAAAAGGCACATGGGGTCTCACCTGAAAAGGCACCTGAAGCCTCACCTGGAGCACGAGCTGGTCGATATAGGCAGGGAGGTGCCTCATAAGCTCCCTGGAATACACCTTCCCCAGCTTCACCTCCTCAAACGCTGACATCAGCGCCGCCCGCACCACCTTGCGCCTCTCCTGCAGCGCGAGCGCCACGGGGCTGTCCCGGGAAACTTCCAGGCTGCTTCCGCTGTTGCTGCTTCTACCGCTCCTGCTGCTGCTTTGAGACGGCAAGGAGGGTATACCGTTTCCTGAAAATTCCAGCCTGGGTATTCTAGCAGACTCCAGAGGGGCATTCTTACTGCTGCTGCTGCCATCCCTGGTGAAAGAAGTGTTCTTCCTGCCGCTCTTCCTGGTGCTGCTACTGTCAGTGGCCGCCGCTGCTGCTCTGCTCCGGGTCACACTGGAAACACCATCACCACCACCACCAACACCACCAACACCACCATCACCATCGTCATCAGCAACACTGGTAATCCCTGCGCATGGGATATCCCCCTCCTCCTCATCCCATGGCCACTGCTGCTCCTGTGTGCGTGACTGCCCTCCCAGCCCGCCGCCCTTTGAAGCCCTGCCAGGGGAAGGAGTCGGGCTCTCAGCACGATCTGCTGCATGTGACTCTGCTGTGTTCAGTGCCGATGCTACCATTGCTGCTCGTGATTCGGCTTGCTCTCCTGCGTGTGATTCTGCTGCGTCTGGCTCTTCTGTGTCGAATGGTGGATATGCCACTCGTGCTCGTGTGGGTTGATCACCAACACTTGCAGCCACCACCACTTGTTTTGCGGCTGCTGTTCCTGCTGCTGCTGCTGCTCCTGCTCCTGCTGCTGCTCCTGCTGCTCCTGCTGCTGCTGCCGCTCCTGCTGCTACTGCCGCTGGTCGGTCAGGGAACTGTGATTGCTCGTGAAATGCTGCTGTGGGCGCACCATCGGTAGAACCCCCGACTGCTGCTGTGGATGGTGAGTGCGACTGCTCGTTCAGTAATCCACTGGCACTTACCACGGCTGTATCAGCAACCACAGCACCACTGGAAGACCCACCAGCACCTGCTGCAGCTGCAGCTGCTGCTGTGGCTGATGATACAGCGTCCTGCCATGGAAAAACCCCTTCTCCTCTCACTCTCTCTACTCCTACTCCTTCCCCTTCCATGCCTTCTCCATCCCTCTCTAACCATCCCGCCCTACTCTCAACTTCCTCCACCTTAGTCCCTCTCATACCCCCGTCCCTTGCAGTACTCCCGTCCGTTCCACTCCCCCCATCCCCTCCACTCCCCCCATCCCCTCCACTCCCCCCATCCCCTCCACTCCCCCCATCCCCTCCACTCCCCCCCTCTCCTCCACTCCCCCCATCCTCGCCTTCCATCCACCATGCTCGTTTCCCTCTCTTCTCCCAGGAAGGAGCCACCCACGCGTCTACCCTGCTGCTGCGACTACTGCTCGTCCTTTCCGCCCCAACCCCTCCTCCCCCCTCAGCTCCCCTTGTTCTCAAATTCCCATTCCCTCTCTTTTCCCAAGAGGGAGGCACCCACGCGTCTACCCTGCTGCTGTGACTGCTGCTGCTCGCCCGTTGAGTCCCTCTCCCTCCTCCCCCAACTCTCCCCTCTGGCCCCATTGCTCTCGACTCCCCATTCCCTCTCTTCTCCCAAGATGGCCCCACCCACCCGTCTGCCCTGCTCCGCTGCCTCACTCTCTCGTCTCTGCTGTCGCTGCTCATTCCTTGCGCCCCTCCCCCTCCTCTCCCCTCTTCTCCCCTTGCCCATGCAGCTACCCTGCTTTCACTCGTTCCCGTCTGCCCCTCTTCATCTCCTCTTCTCTCTGCTCCCTCCTTTTCCCCTCCCGCCTCTCTCCCCCCTCCCGCCCCCCCTACCCCCTGCCGCCTCTCTTCCCCCCGCCGCCTCCCGCGTCTCCACTGCGCCTCTGCGCCAAACTGCGCCTCTCACTGCATTCGCTCCACCCCTTCTTTCCCCCTCCCGCGCGGTCCATTTCCGCCCCTCCCCTGGCGCATTCCGCCCCTCCCCCGGTGAACCCCACCCCTCCCATAGAGCATTCCGTCCCTCCCCCACCGCATTCCGCCCCTCCGCACCGGTTCCCTCCCCCGTTTCCCACACAACGGACGGCCTCCTCCGCTGCCCTCCGCCGCTCCGACCGCCATTAGTCGACCAATCGCGCTCATCTATCGCGCACAAGGTTAACCTTCTCTGATTGGCTAAAATAGCAGGGAATTCTACTCTAACCCATGGGTATTCTGATCTGATCGCGCTCGTTAGAGTGTCAGGCCGAATGAGTGTTCTACACGGGTGGTTTCCGGCCGGTATTTGCGCTCGAGCCGCCGAAATTCGCGTTCGGCCCGTGGGAGTTCGCGCTAGGAGTGTGGTTGCGGGAAGTGCCATGCGGCTTCGAAACGGGTGTTGATGTTGTCGTAAAGTGGAAGCCGCGAACGGAGATGCCGAGTGCGATCGCGCGGAACACGCGCCTTGAACAGACATGGCGACGAAACGGCGTCGACGGGACCACGACGATGCTGCACAACAACATACGCGATGGCTGCGATGCGAATTTGAGCTGTTCACGCCAGGCCAAAATCATTGAGGGCGATGGTGGTGTGTTACGAGCAAACCGCGCGGGAAACGGCTGATGGACGCGAATGATTCGGTACTCGTTAGTGACATTCGTGATTTCGCGAAAGAGAAAGCCCAAACAAAGCGATGAAGAGTAAATAAATGCAGTTACAGTCCAAGGCAAACAAAATATATGGTAAAAAACTTTGTGAAATGTGCCCACTGAAAGCTCGTGACAACAAAGAAGCACGACACAGCATTTCCTCTGCAATGGCAAGAAAATTATACATGATTTTTATTCCCCCGAAGGTCCACACTGCTTCATTCTCTCCCCACCATTGCCCTGGTCCTGTCACATCTCCCCATATTCTGGTTGAATCTCCCCCCCATACCCCCCGCACCCCAGGTAGGTAGTCCTTGTGTGTCCCAGAAATCTCCTGCGCGCACGCCAGGGGCCGTCCCCTCAACCCCCAATCCCTGCCAGAGCTGTGCCAAAAACTTGCAGAAAGCGAGGAAATAGTGCCACATTCTGCTCACATCTCCCCTCCATACCCTCCCGACCCCAAGTAGTCCTTGTGATTCCCAGAGATGGCCTGAGTCTTCTGGTGCTCGAGCTTGGGGCACTCGCTGATGCGATGGCCAAGGCCGCCACAGAAGGCACACCCGCGCACACCAGAGGCGGCGGCGAGAGCCTCTGCGTCCTCCATGGGGTCGTCCAGGGAGGCCAGCACGGGGGGGATGCGCTGCTTCGCCTCCCGCAGCAGATGCTTCAGATCCAGCAGAATCGTCTCGCTCTGTTGCAGGAAGGGGTGGGGGGAAGTGGGAGCAGGGGAAGCAGGGAAAGCGGGAGAACCAGGAGGGGAAAACAGGGGTTAAAACCCACTTGACCCCTCAGCACCGGACCGCACCACCAGGACCCCTCAGCACTGCACTGCACCAACCTGGACCCCTCAGCACTGCACTGCACCCACCTGGAACCCTCAGCACCGCAAAGCACCGACTTGGACCCCTCAGCGCCGCACTGCACCCACCTGGACCCCTCAGCACCGAACTGCACCCACCTGGACCCCTCAGCACCGCACTGCACCCACCTGGACCCCTCACCAGTGCACTGCACCCACCTGGAACCCACAGCACCGCACTGCACCAACCTGGACCCCTCACCACCGCACTGCACCCACCAGGACCCCTCAGCACCGCACTGCACCCACCTGGACCCCTCAGCACCGCACTGCAACCACCTGGACCCCTCAGCACCGCACTGCACCAACCTGGACCCCTCGGCACTGCACTGCACCCACCTGGAACCCTCAGCACCGCAAAGCACCCACTTGGACCCCTCAGCGCCGCACTGCACCCACCTGGACCCCTCAGCACCGAACTGCACCAACCTGGACCCCTCAGCACCGCACTGCACCCACCTGGACCCCTCAGCACCGCACTGCGCCCACCCGGACCCCTCAGCACCGCACTGCACCCACCTGGACCCCTCAGCACTGCACTGCACCTGTGAGGACCTCACCTGGTTCTTGTTGATGAACGTGGTGGCAATCCCCGTCTTCCCGCAGCGCCCCGTGCGGCCGATGCGGTGAACATAGTTCTCAATCTCAGCGGGCATGTCATAGTTCACCACGTGCTGAATGTCCGGGAAGTCCAGCCCCTTGGACGCCACATCAGTCGCCACCAGCACATCCTTCCTCCCGGCCTTGAACGCCGCGATTGCCGCCTCGCGCTCCTCCTGGTCCTTCCCTCCGTGCACTGCCACCGCCTCCACTCCCTTGAGCAGCAGGTACTCGTGAATGTCGTCCACGTCGGCTTTGTTCTCGCAGAAAATCAGAACCGGAGGCGGCGTTTTTTTGGAGGCATTCGAGGAGGTACACGATCTTGGCCTCCTGCTTCACGTACTCCACCTCCTGAATCACGTCCAGATTCGCTGCACCTGCACGCCCCACATTAACCATAACCGGCTTCACCAGGGCACTTTTCGCAAACGCCTGGATTTTCTTGGGCATGGTGGCGGAAAACAGCAGCGTCTGGCGCTGGGCTTTAAAGTGGTCGAAAACCTCTCTGATATCATCCTCGAAACCCAAGTCAATGAGCCTGTCGGCTTCATCCAAGCACAAGTACTTGCATATGTCCAGGTTCATGCGCTTTTTGTTAAGTAAGTCTTTTAGCCGACCAGGCGTGGCGACCACCATGTGCACTCCGCGTTTGACCACCTCCAGCTGCTGCCGCATGTCAATGCCCCCTATGCACAGCATGCTGCGCAGCTCTGGGTATCTGAGAATGGAAATAGGGGGGGCAGGGAAGGCAAGTGAAGCAAGGAGTGTGATGAGACGCAAGGGATTGATGAGAGAGTGGGAAAAGCTTGACCACCTGCCTCTGCTCTGGGTACCTGCAAGATAGAAAGCAAGGGAAGAGATTTGAGGCGCCTCAAAACCCATCTCATTACATGCGGAGCTCAGGGCACTGGGAATTGAAATAGGGGAGAAAAGAGAGGTGAGGGGAGGAAGGGGAGGAAACGGGTGATGAGAGACGCAAGGCTGTGACGGGAGCCGAACCGTCCGGATGCTCGATCACCTTCAGCTGCCCCCTTCGGCTGCCCCCTTCGGCTGCCCCCTTCGGCTGCCCCCTTCGGCTTCCCCCTTCGGCTGCCCCCTTCGGCTGCCCCCTTCGGCTGCCCCCTTCGGCTGCCCCCTTCGGCTGCCCCCTTCGGCTGCCCCCTTCGGCTGCCCCCTTCGGCTGCCCCCTTCGGCTGCCCCCTTCGGCTGCCCCCTTCGGCTGCCCCCTTCGGCTGCCCCCTTCGGCTGCCCCCTTCGGCTGCCCCCTTCGGCTGCCCCCTTCGGCTGCCCCCTTCGGCTGCCCCCTTCGGCTGCCCCCTTCGGCTGCCCCCTTCGGCTGCCCCCTTCGGCTGCCCCCTTCGGCTGCCCCCTTCGGCTGCCCCCTTCGGCTGCCCCCTTCGGCTGCCCCCTTCGGCTGCCCCCTTCGGCTGCCCCCTTCGGCTGCCCCCTTCGGCTGCCCCCTTCGGCTGCCCCCTTCGGCTGCCCCCTTCGGCTGCCCCCTTCGGCTGCCCCCTTCGGCTGCCCCCTTCGGCTGCCCCCTTCGGCTGCCCCCTTCGGCTGCCCCCTTCGGCTGCCCCCTTCGGCTGCCCCCTTCGGCTGCCCCCTTCGGCTGCCCCCTTCGGCTGCCCCCTTCGGCTGCCCCCTTCGGCTGCCCCCTTCGGCTGCCCCCTTCGGCTGCCCCCTTCGGCTGCCCCCTTCGGCTGCCCCCTTCGGCTGCCCCCTTCGGCTGCCCCCTTCGGCTGCCCCCTTCGGCTGCCCCCTTCGGCTGCCCCCTTCGGCTGCCCCCTTCGGCTGCCCCCTTCGGCTGCCCCCTTCGGCTGCCCCCTTCGGCTGCCCCCTTCGGCTGCCCCCTTCGGCTGCCCCCTTCGGCTGCCCCCTTCGGCTGCCCCCTTCGGCTGCCCCCTTCGGCTGCCCCCTTCGGCTGCCCCCTTCGGCTGCCCCCTTCGGCTGCCCCCTTCGGCTGCCCCCTTCGGCTGCCCCCTTCGGCTGCCCCCTTCGGCTGCCCCCTTCGGCTGCCCCCTTCGGCTGCCCCCTTCGGCTGCCCCCTTCGGCTGCCCCCTTCGGCTGCCCCCTTCGGCTGCCCCCTTCGGCTGCCCCCTTCGGCTGCCCCCTTCGGCTGCCCCCTTCGGCTGCCCCCTTCGGCTGCCCCCTTCGGCTGCCCCCTTCGGCTGCCCCCTTCGGCTGCCCCCTTCGGCTGCCCCCTTCGGCTGCCCCCTTCGGCTGCCCCCTTCGGCTGCCCCCTTCGGCTGCCCCCTTCGGCTGCCCCCTTCGGCTGCCCCCTTCGGCTGCCCCCTTCGGCTGCCCCCTTCGGCTGCCCCCTTCGGCTGCCCCCTTCGGCTGCCCCCTTCGGCTGCCCCCTTCGGCTGCCCCCTTCGGCTGCCCCCTTCGGCTGCCCCCTTCGGCTGCCCCCTTCGGCTGCCCCCTTCGGCTGCCCCCTTCGGCTGCCCCTTCGGCTGCCCCCTTCGGCTGCCCCCTTCGGCTGCCCCCTTCGGCTGCCCCCTTCGGCTGCCCCCTTCGGCTGCCCCCTTCGGCTGCCCCCTTCGGCTGCCCCCTTCGGCTGCCCCCTTCGGCTGCCCCCTTCGGCTGCCCCCTTCGGCTGCCCCCTTCGGCTGCCCCCTTCGGCTGCCCCCTTCGGCTGCCCCCTTCGGCTGCCCCCTTCGGCTGCCCCCTTCGGCTGCCCCCTTCGGCTGCCCCCTTCGGCTGCCCCTTCGGCTGCCCCCTTCGGCTGCCCCCTTCGGCTGCCCCCTTCGGCTGCCCCCTTCGGCTGCCCCCTTCGGCTGCCCCTTCGGCTGCCCCCTTCGGCTGCCCCCTTCGGCTGCCCCCTTCGGCTGCCCCCTTCGGCTGCCCCCTTCGGCTGCCCCCTTCGGCTGCCCCCTTCGGCTGCCCCCTTCGGCTGCCCCCTTCGGCTGCCCCTTCGCTGCCCCTTCGGCTGCCCCCTTCGGCTGCCCCCCCCCCTTCGGCTGCCCCCTTCGGCTGCCCCCTTCGGCTGCCCCCTTCGGCTGCCCCCTTCGGCTGCCCCCTTCGCTGCCCCCTTCGGCTGCCCCCTTCGGCTGCCCCTTCGGCTGCCCCCTTCGGCTGCCCCTTCGGCTGCCCCTTCCGGCTGCCCCCTTCGGCTGCCCCCTTCGGCTGCCCCCTTCCGGCTGCCCCTTCGGGCTGCCCCCTTCGGCTGCCCCCTTCGGCTGCCCCCTTCGGCTGCCACCCTTCGGCTGCCCCCTTCGGCTTGCCCCCTTCGGCTGCCCCCTTCGGCTGCCCCTGCCCCCTTCGGCTGCCCCCTTCGGCTGCCCCCTTCGGCTGCCCCCTTTCGGCTGCCCCCTTCGGCTGCCCCCTTCGGCTGCCCCCTTCGGCTGCCCCCTTCGGCTGCCCCCTTCGGCTGCCCCCTTCGGCTGCCCCCTTCGGCTGCCCCCCTTCGGCTGCCCCCTTCGGCTGCCCCCTTCGGCTGCCCCCTTCGGCTGCCCCCTTCGGCTGCCCCCTTCGGCTGCCCCCTTCGGCTGCCCCCTTCGGCTGCCCCCTTCGGCTGCCCCCTTCGGCTGCCCCCTTCGGCTGCCCCCTTCGGCTGCCCCCTTCGGCTGCCCCCTTCGGCTGCCACCTTCGGCTGCCACCTTCGGCTGCCCCCTTCGGCTGCCACCTTCGGCTGCCACCTTCGGCTGCCACCTTCGGCTGCCACCTTCGGCTGCCACCTTCGGCTGCCACCTTCGGCTGCCACCTTCGGCTGCCACCTTCGGCTGCCACCTTCGGCTGCCACCTTCAGCTGCCACCTTCAGCTGCCACCTTCAGCTGCCACCTTCAGCTGCCACCTTCAGCTGCCACCTTCAGCTGCCCCCTTCAGCTGCCACCTTCAGCTGCCACCTTCAGCTGCCACCTTCAGCTGCCCCCTTCAGCTGCCACCTTCAGCTGCCACCTTCAGCTGCCACCTTCAGCTGCCACCTTCAGCTGCCACCTTCAGCTGCCACCTTCAGCTGCCCCCTTCAGCTGCCACCTTCAGCTGCCACCTTCAGCTGCCACCTTCAGCTGCCACCTTCAGCTGCCACCTTCAGCTGCCACCTTCAGCTGCCACCTTCAGCTGCCACCTTCAGCTGCCACCTTCAGCTGCCACCTTCAGCTGCCACCTTCAGCTGCCACCTTCAGCTGCCACCTTCAGCTGCCCCCTTCAGCTGCCCCCTTCAGCTGCCCCCTTCAGCTGCCACCTTCAGCTGCCACCTTCAGCTGCCACCTTCAGCTGCCCCCTTGAGCTGCCCCTTCAGCTGCCCCCTTCAGCTGCCCCCTTCAGCTGCCACCTTCAGCTGCCACCTTCAGCTGCCCCCTTCAGCTGCCCCCTTCAGCTGCCACCTTCAGCTGCCCCCTTTAGCTGCCCCCTTCAGCTGCCCCCTTGAGCTGCCCCCTTCAGCTGCCCCCTTCAGCTGCCACCTTCAGCTGCCCCCTTCAGCTGCCCCCTTCAGCTGCCACCTTCAGCTGCCCCCTTCAGCTGCCCCCTTCAGCTGCCCCCTTCAGCTGCCACCTTCAGCTGCCACCTTCAGCTGCCCCCTTCAGCTGCCCCCTTCAGCTGCCACCTTCAGCTGCCACCTTCAGCTGCCACCTTCAGCTGCCACCTTCAGCTGCCACCTTCAGCTGCCACCTTCAGCTGCCACCTTCAGCTGCCACCTTCAGCTGCCACCCCAGCTCTCCCTTTTCAATCAACTCTATGGCCGCCCCCTTGCCCATCTCACCCCCTTTTTACCCATCTCACCCCCCCCCCTCCTCCCCGCCTTTCCCCCACTGAACTCACCGCTCTCTCTAATCGTTTCTCAGAGCATTAGCAAACTCGTTCACCACATCGTATGTCTGCCTGCCTGGCCAGCACCAGGCAGTGCCCACCAATCAGCTCTAGCGTCCCTACCTGCCCGTCCCTACCTGCCCGTCCCGTTCCCCTACTCACTCTACTCACTCTACTCACCCTACTCAGCTTTTCAAGCATCTCAGCAGTCACCCTACCGCACTCACCGCTCTCTGCGGTCGTTCCTGAGAGCATCAGCAAACTCGTTCACCACATCGTACGTCTGCCGGGCGAGCTCTCTGGAGGGGCACACGATGAGCCCTGTGGGGCCCTCCCCTGCCACCAGCGGCATTCGCACCTCCTCCTGCAGTGCCTGTGGGGAGGAGGGTAAAGGGGAGGAGGTGCAAGAACAGTGTGTCCCCGTGCAAGGACAGAGTAATTAATGAAGTCTCTGGAGGGGCATACGATGAGCCCTGTGGGCCCACCCCCCCGCACCACCAGCGGCATGCGCACCTCCTCCTGCAAAGCCTGGCGTGTGGGGGGATAGAAGGGAGTGGGAAGGAATTGGCAGGGGTAGTGGAACAGCAATCGTGCGAGCTCTCTGGAGGGGCACACATTGACTCCCGTGGGGCCCTCCCCCGCCACCAGGGGCATTCGCACCTCCTCCTCCTGTAGGGCCTGGCATGCAGAACACACCCAGCAGGGGGGGAGGATGGGATGAGATGAGGGGGGTACAAATGCTGGTTGATTGAAAAGCACCCTGTAAGGGCAGAAAATGAGCACCCTGGTTGTGTGGGTGGGTCCCTCACCCGCCTGCTACTGCAATGAGCACAAAGCCTCGCAACGGGCACTATGGGCAGCGGAAATGCTGCCACTGAGTGGCACCGGCAGCAAAACGCCCTCATATTCAGCACCATGGGCAGTAAAATTGCTCACACTGAGTACCGGGGCAGCTAGAAAAAAGCACTCTCATTAGGCAGCAACAGCAGAAGACCACTCACATTGAGCACCATGGGCAGCGCAAAGACGAGTGTTTTCCCTGATCCAGTGAAAGCAATGCCGATGATGTCCCTCCCCTCCAGCACCGCTGGCATGCCCTGCACCTGCACATGGGGTGGTTCAGAGAGGTACAGCGGGGTGACTAGCAATACAGCAATGGTGGCATTCTCTGCACCTGCACAGGGAGATATGAAGCGGTAGAGAGGGGTGCACATCAACACAGAGCGGTTAAGGGCCCCTCCCCTCCAACACAGGGAGTGGTAAAGAGTGGCACGAAGAGATATTAAACGGTACAGATGGGTGCAGATAGCAAAGATCAGTTGGGGATCCCCATTCTCCACCTGAACTGAATGGGCGTGGTGAGGGGAATGAGCAGCAGCACCCACCTGAATGGGAATCAAGGGAACACGCACCTGGATGGGCGTGGGGCGCAGGATGCCTTTCTTCTTGAGCACGCGCAGGCAGGGCTCGGGCAGGCGCATGTCTTTGAAGCTCTTGATGGGCGGCGGCACGCCCTCGCCGTCCACCAGGATGTGCCACGCCTTGCGGATCTCCGCCCGCTCCTCCTCGCTCATGCCTCGGATGTGGCTCGGCGGCTTCCAACCCGTCCACAGAGGCTCGGTGTACTGCGGGTGAGAGGCGGCGTGGCAGAGAGGAAAGTTGGGGAGATTTTTAGATTTTTTAAAACTCATCTCATAGTATCAGATGTGGCTGGCTGGCTTTTAGAATTCTCAAAAGCAGCTCAGGGGCTGCTCTCGGCGCACATGATGGCCTAGAATGTGGGTTCTCGCCCCACCTTAAAAGCCCTTGGCGACGTTGGGTTGGAAAGAAACAATTTCTTCTCCTCGCCCTCTACGGAACCCTGCAAACCTGAGTGGGTTCTCTTCTCTCTGCACCTGAACGCTCCTTATCAAGCCCTTAACCGCACCTGAACACCCTTATCAAGCCCCTCATCGCACCTAAACGCCCTTATTCAGCCCTCACCGCACCTGGATACCCTTGACGCACCCAGAATGCCTATAACGAGGGTTTTGAACGCACCTGGATGCCCGTATCAACCCCCCCTCCACGCACCTGGATGCCCTTGGCGAGCTCTTTCACGCTCATGAGCGTCTTGCGGTCGCTGAGGCGTTCGAACATCTCCTTCTCCTCCGCCAGCACCTGCTCCGTGTGGCTCAGCTCCGGCACGTCCTTCTTCAGCATCGTCGCCTTCACCAACAGGCTCGGCCGAGCCTCCGGCCCAGCTCCGGCGCCGTCCTCCCCGCCGCCGGCTCCTTCCCCGTCGCCGCTTCCCCCGGTTCCGCCGCCCTTTGCGCCCAGTGCTATACCGCGCGCGGCCGCTCGCGCGGCTAACAGCCGTTGCTGCTTCATAAGGCGTCGTTTCTTAACGGGGATATACTCCTCGTAATCATCCTCCTCCTCTCTCTCCTCCTCGTCCGCCTTCCCGTCCCCGTCTCTCCCACGATTCCCGCCGCTTTCTGCGGCGCGATAGTAGCGCCTCTTTCCTCCTCCCTCGCCGCCATCCCTCGCCGCCTCTTGACTCTGCGACCTCCCGTTGCTTCCCCCTCCGATACCCTCTCGTTCGTCCCCTCTCTTAACCTCCCCCTCTCGTCCGTACCCTCTTTTCGTGTCTCGTTCCTGCGTGAGAGCCTCGTCCCCCTCGTCGCCTTCATAAATCGTCTCCAGACCCTTCATTGCTGCCGAGCAGCAGCACGAGCAGCACGAGAAGCAGTGTAGGAAAACGCTACGCTTTCACTTCACTCCGCAGTAGGTACGAGGATACACGACTTTGAGTCAAAAACAGCTGTCAGAAACTTCGCAGCGGCGAATATGAGAGGTACTGCGCAACTTTAAGTGCTACTATCTCTAGATTCCGACTAGAATACGCAGCGGATAGGAAGGGTTCTTAGCACTACGGATAGGCTAAGAAGCTTCCGTCCAATAGTAGGAAACCTAGAGCTGGGTCGACGATCTTGCGTGCCGTCGTGTACCTCTGGCCGTTTGTCCCTAGTTGGAAGTTCGTAACCAGAATTTGGGTTCTTAATACGCAGGAGATGCACAGAAGCGACGCGCGTAAATCTGAGACACGCAGTCGCCTTGTCTGAACGTTAGAATCAGGGGGTTCCAGAGAAAGACCTTCCTCGCCGCTCTCCTTGCATTTCCAAGGCTCGGTCTTTCTTGGGGGGTGGAAGTGCGAGGACAGCAAGATAGGTTTGACACTATTCGCGTTAAAAGAATATGAATGGTGAAGTTGATACATTGAACAAGTCCGCGGACGCTGCATGCGGAAACCAAATATATAAACGAAGCAACTGTGAATGGACCTCTGCTATCTGTTCAGTTGCAAGACAGAAGCTAAATTAGGCCCTTCCATATATCAGCTTCTGCCTTCCTAAAATACTTAATTCAAGAAGCACAACATGTCATCTTCACAGAATGGCAAAATAATAGATTGAAAGTTATGGTTTCCAAACCAGGTTAGTAAATTATATACCACAAGCTATGCCTAATTGTAGGGCAGAGAGGAAAGCCAAAACTGTTGAGACTCAGGGCATGATGTGATGAAGGCGTAAAGTTGCAGTCTACAATTTAAGTGGTGTTTTTTGGGGTATTTATTATGCCCACCCTTTCGTGCGGCCTGATTGGAGAACGAAATCAGCATGTTTCAAAACACCGCAGCGACGAACTCAGACAGGAAACGCGAATCCAGCCCAACTTCGTGCTGACGCGTGGTTTGGGGGAAGGGTCTGCGGAAGGGCGGGAAACAATCTGGAGAGTTCGGTTTCGGGCGGAAAGAACCCCAACCCCCTCTCTCCACCCCCCTCAACCGTTAGCTTTGCATGAAAGGGGGCCGAGTCCAAAAACTGGTCACCCTGTTTTCAAGTGATAAACTCAGGCCTCCCGCTCGTAGTATAGACCACAGCTTTAAATTCCACACTTGTTGTGGAAGCGGCGCACCGCACTGTTGCTGCTGCATATGAGGCCAGAAGAGTACAAGGCCATACACAAGAAAGGATGTCGGGGATGTTGCTGCTATGGAATCGCATGAATGCTGCTGTGGGTGGCCCACTCTTGTTCGTGCCCTTAATGTGCAATCCACTTGTGTGCTGCTGCAATTTCTAGCCCATATCAGTGCAGGTCAGGGCACGGAGCCTTGGCTTGGGCCATGCAGGAGACAGGCAGTGGGGCAAATGATTGCTGCTGCTACAGCAGCACATGAGAGCTGGTAGCCAAGGCAGGGGTCATCAGTGCCTGTGAAGTTGCTTCCGAATCCATGGATGCTCTGCCAGAATGAAAATACATAGCGCACGTTGTCAGGCAAACCGGGTAATGGCAAGAAATGAAGCAAACAATTGTGATGGTAATGGACGAAAATGAAACCGAGCAGTGGACTGCTGGTCAGTGCTAGCCAAGGTACTCTGTGAAAGACGGGGGGGGGGGGGGGGGGGGGGGGGGGGGGGGGGGGGGGGGGGGCATACCAAGGATTTCGACAGGAGTGATGCGCTTCCGCCAATCCTTCTCCAGCATCCTCGCTATAAGCTCCTTGCATTCTTCCGACACCCCTCCCCACTTGGCGGGACGAAAAACCACCGGCCGTGTAAGCACCGCTTCAGCTACAGTTCGCTCTGCTGTTGCCCAGAAAGGCGGCACACCACTCATTGCTACGTACATAACCACACCCATGCTCCACACATCCACTGCTGATCCATATTTCACTTCATTTTTCCGGGGTGTAGATACCAGCTTATTGGAATCGTCAAAAACCGCTCCCCACATTTCAGGTGCCATGTACTCAGGTGTCCCCACCACATCTGTAATCATCTCCCCTTCAGACACAAAGCCGCTGCTCCGAAGTCTGCAAGTTTGATATTTGTATCGTCTGATGCATCCATAAGGAGGATGTTTTCGGGCTTTATGTCACGGTGTACTATTCCGTGCAAATGGCAGTGTAGGACTGCATGGGTGAGAGCTTGGCAGAGCTTGGTGCCAGAGGGTTCAGAATACGGCCCAAACTTTGTGATTCTATCGAAGAGGTCGCCACCTCTGCACAGCTCCATGACTAGGTGAACAGCCTGACAGGAGGGTAAAGGAGGGAAACAGAGGTAGAAAAACAGAGGGCAGGGAAGAGGTTAGAAAGGAGCAAGCACAGGAGATGCAACAACCGGGCATGGTGTTTTGAGCGAGAAAGGGAGAAGGGACGGGGAGGACAGGGGAGGAGTGAGTGCATTGGAAGGACAAGCGCAGGTGGGTGGAAAAAGAGAATGTCCTACAGGTCAGGGGAGGAGTAGAGGAAATGCAGGGCTATGGGAAGTGGGGGGAAGGGGGGGGGGTTGGGCGGGGGGGGTGGAAAAAGAGGAGCTGTTGAGGGAGTGATGGAACTGAAAGCATGAGGGGGCTTGGGTAAGTAGAATGAGCCGCCACATACCTTTCTGTCTTCAATCGTGTCATGGAGTGTGACTATATGAGGATGGCCACGTGCCAGGAACATGCTCGCCACCTCCCGCCTGATATCATCCGCAGCATCAGAATCTTTTATTTGGTTCTTCTTAATTGTCTTGCACGCGTACACTCGCGCCGATTCAATTTCCAAGCATTTTCGAACGCTGCCGTACTGCCCGCTTCCAAACTCCCGGTGGTGTACAACGAATCTGGACGCGATGTCTTCGTAAGGTTTCAAAAGAACCGACGACGATACCGCTGAACAGGATGATCGTCTCGCTGACGTGTACGTGCATTGATATTTTTCCGCTAAGGAGCCGGTGGCGTCACTGTGTCTCGCGTCTCTGTCGCGAGTCTGTTTTTGAGGCGACTCAAAAACGGCGTCCCAACCGCCAGCTTGGCAGCTTCCTCTGGGTCGAGCGCTGCGTTTGCCACTGACAGGTGCGTGTTTTCGAACATGTCGAGGTCGCTCGTGTCGCCACGTGCATACAGCCGCATCGACGTTATCCGTGCTGCTCCTGTTCCTCCCCTCATTAGTATCACATCCGTCAGACTTGCGATCAAAATTGTCGACTCCAGCACCACCCGCATCGTCGCTCCTTGTCGCAATGGCACACGCCGTCGTCGTCGTCGCAGTAGCTGTAACCCTATTTCTTCCCTCCCTGCCAGCGACATTTTCGACAGAGTCCTTAGCAAAACAACCCTCGCCGCCAGCATGGAATTCGCCGCCGCCAACAGCGCGAGCCTCATCTCTCCGCTGCTGTACCGTCCCCGCGCTCCATCGCAAGCTCCGCTGCCTGAGCGCAGCACTCTCCTGAACCGTTGCGGGTTTTCTCGCTGCTGTTTCCGAGCCTGGTTCCGCCGCGCCGCGTTCAAACCGCCAAACGTCTCCGGTTTCCGAGCCTCGGCTCCCAGTCGAGGCTTGTTCAGGCTTTCCGCCGCTGTTGCTCGGTTCCCCGGATAGCAATTCACGCATGGTCCGAGAAGCGGCGAAAAAGAGATTAGCCGCGAATGTCGGCGAAGGGGAGTGGCTCGGCGGAGCGCCGTGATGCGCGGGCTTTTGCGCCTGCGGGGGCTCTTGCGCTTGCGCCTGCGCCGTTTTTCGCTGTTTTCTGACGATGGCTGGAAAACATTGCTCGCGCTACGGAAGTGCCACGTGGATTCGACTCCCTCGCTTGCTGGGCTCGCCGGATCGAAGGGCAACTCCGATTGGTCGAACGAGACGCCGGGAGCGAACGAGCACTGGCGTTCGAGAGGCGATTTAGGTGAGGATGCGCTGTCGTCGCTAATAGTGGGCATTCGGTCAATTAGGATGGGCTTCGCGGGAAAAAGACTCCGCGGGTGAATTCCGGTTCCTGACGCCATTGCGGAGTCCTCCGTTCCAGAACAGTTCGATGGCAGAGCCCTTACTAATTTCGCAATGACTAAGTACAGGTAAGCTGCTGTGTTGGCGCTCAAATAAACTGAGTCGCTTACTAATTCAACCAAGTACCTGCTTTCAGCAGATAATTATCATCCGTTGAAAAAACCTCCTCCTTTATTCAATGACGAGAAGGAAAGCGCTGATCGGTAAGCGTACTGTTGAAGGTGGAAGTGCGGATGATGAAGGTGCTGCTGTAAGCATTATCCCGCCAAAATTAGCAGCCAGTGTCAAAGGAGTGAATTAAACTCTGGTGACATGGAGCAAGCCGTGATGACTGGAAGCCTGAGGTATGCAAAAGATATGCTTGACTCGCTCGCCGTCACCTCTAAGAGAGTGAATTAGTACAGTACGGTTTAGCTTACTGTGCCCGACAACTAGCCGCCCACCAGACCACCACCACCAGACCATCTGTGATGGAAGGAAAGGACGGAGGGAGGTGTCCTTCCTACGAGGTTGCGCGAAGAATAGTAAGGGCGTGTTACATTTTTACTTCAGCCCGTCCGGATGAGCAGTCGTCCGGACTTTATAGCAGTTACCGTTGTCGTTTATTTCGTCAGATTCCTCGCTAGACCAATTGCGACGTCGTTAGCGATCGGACCGATGATGGAACATTTTGCGTGAATTGCCCTCCCAACTCGACCGGACGATTACAGTTCGATAAGTGGACGGACGTAACAGTAAAGCATTTTTATTGGTCTACGATTCGAGTCTTTCAGTCGCTTGAGTGTTACCTTTGTCGCAATCTCGTCGTGATCATGGTTACAACCTAGCGAACACTCTGAGTTTCGTCAGGTTGAAAATGTTTCATAAACAACGTCGGACGAGGTTTAGTCTGGACGTTGGACCCGGACTACCCGAGATTCGGAATCTGAACCGTTCTCGGACGGTGGTCCGGATTTTAGCCACTTTTAAAAAATGTAGCACGCCCTAAAATGGTGGTGGCGGAACGCCCCTTGCTGGCGATTTCTTTCTCAAGCTAGCGAGGTGCGATGGAGCGAGTGTGAGTGAAATGACAGCAATGAGCGGGGAGGGAACAATGATGTGAATGGAGCAGAACCACATAAGAGAGAGATGCGATATGCGAAGAGATTTACCGCGTGAAAATATCCTAAAGTCCCCCTGATTCTGTCCCGCGCCCATGACTGGTGAAGGGGTTGCTGTTCCGATGGTAGAAACTACGCAACGTTGCGTGATGATGAGGGGGAGGTGGGGTGATCAGGCGGGCTGACTCAAAAGGCCAAGCAGAATGTGGAACTCTGGTTGCAAAAAAAGTGTACGCCTGCTTGTGTGCGTGTAGCTACCCGACTACGACACCTAAATCTCCAGTTACTAAGTACTGTATCCCCTATTGTACACACATCCAACTTTCAGGTCAATGCTTGCTTCTCTCGCCTTGATTTGCACAGCATGCCTGAAAGAGTTCCAGTTGGGTATGTACCCCTTCATTTCCAGTTGTAGTCAACTGTACCCTTCATGTTTGTGATGCATTTGAATTCAAACAATCGGGCACGCTTACGGTGCTGAATATAACCATCATCACTCCAGTGGTGTGCTGCTGGATCCAGCATGGTATATCTCAACGCGCCGACTACATCCGGGTGCAAAAACAACGCGGCTCGGGAAAGGGATCCGCCACCCTGCGTCATCCTGTCCGGCTAACTGAGTGCACGTCCTGGGCGAGAAGCGTCACCCTGCGTCACCCGGCAATCCCGATGAGACAAACCCCGATGGCACCTCTCAACGGACCCTCCGTACGAGGTCGACACGTCGACGACGCCGGTCGCGGCCACCGTGCCACGACGTCCAGCTTGCCATCGGCGCGGACTGCGACGTAAGGCCCACCGCGATTCCTGGCCGACCACTGCTCTGGCGCGCAGAGCCACACGTCGCCCATCCGAAACACAACATTCCACGCGGCGAACATCGATCGACGAACGTCTGTCCACGCGGCCATCAAGCCTTCGGCGGCGTGCTAGCGGGAACGTCCCCGCGGGATACCATCGTCGGGCGACGCGATGAGCACTGTTGCGTCACGCCGACGTGTAAGCACGGTTCACCGTGACGGGAACACCGGACAGTCGGCTGCGAAGAAGACATGCGTGCCCCGTGCCACGTCGACCATTGCGCCGCCGTTCTGCCTTGCATGCAGGGTTGGAGACCTGCCCACGGATCGCCTGCCAACACCTGTCCGCCCGAACCGAGACTGTGCCTCTCTATGCTATGACCCCCTGACGGCCAAGTGTCCATGGCATTTCGTCACTTGTTTGTTGCGTTGCATTCATTTTCATTCTGGTGAGCCACATTTCCCTCAGTCATTTTCACGCTTCTCGGAGACCGACCGACCACGCGTGGTCCAGGTTTGACGACGAGCCACGCCGGTGTAGAGTGCGTTTAGGTCGGCAAACTGTACGGGCTTCCGACTTAGGATCATTCCGACTAGGACGACTAGCTAGGTCGACAACAACCGAAAGTCGCCGACCTCTTTCTTCAAACCCACAACCAGTATTGTCATCGCCGGTGATCCCCAGTACGGCCTCGAATGGCCAGGGACCAGTCTAACAACATCCCGCCGGACAACACCCCGACGAACAACACCCCGACCAACAACACCCCCCCCCGCCCAACCTCCCCCCGAACACACCCCGCCAAACGATACATTGCCACTTCACACCCCGCCGACCATTGCGCCGCCGACCACGGCCACTCCGAACATCACCCAGCAGAACACCAATCCGCCGCCCTTACTTCCCGAAATTCCCGAATTGACCGACATTGCCGCGGAGTTGACGATCGCCGAGAACATTGAGAGGGCCGAAAGACGGGCAGCCTTTAGGGCCACGGTGCGAAGGCAATACACGGCAGCGATTGTGCAGTGTCGACTTTGGTGGGCTGAGCACGTACCGCCGCGAGACCGCGGCGACAACTAGAGGCCGACGGGAACAACTCTACCCGCCGAGATGGCTGGCGACGCGCCGCCGGCGGGGAGCAGCGCGATTTCCGACCTGAATGAGCCTTTCATGGAGGAAGATGTAGACGCCGCTAGGGCAAATATTCCCGCCGACATGGTGGTCGACGTAGACGCCGCTAGGGCAAAAATTCCCGCCGACCCGACCATCCCCCTACCGCCAGGGACGAAAGGGGCTCCCGAACCCGAGCCGGACCGGTACTCGCCGCTTTCGGACACGGAGCAGCCGCCGCCAATTGGACCATTTCCAGAAACGACTACATGTATCTGACCGTAAAGGACTTGTTGGCAGCCGACGAGAAAGATGACGCCTTCCTGCAAAACATTCCGCGCGACGATTTTGCGGAAGCCGCCTTCGACATCAACAAAGAGCTCGACAAGAAGAACAGATTGCTGAGGATGATGTGGGGTTTCCGGCATCTGGACACGCTGGAGGCGAGAACGACCCGGGTTCAGTACCTGCGGGCGCTGCTCGACTTCAGGAGATGGTGCTGCGCGAACCTTCCAAGACAGCAAACCGCCAGAGTCAAGGGGGACGGCGTGCTGGAACACGAGGACGAGATAGGGAGGTACATCGACGAAGACATGGGTGATCAGTGGCACACCGCCAAGGGCGACCTACAATGGATGCACGGTCCCCGCGTCAACGCCACGCGGATCAGGGCGTACATTCTGTCAATCGCGAGGCAGCATGGTATTGCAAAGGCCGAGGAGCTCGAGGAGCTGAATCCCGACGTCCGTGTCCAGCCCCTGAAGCCGACAACCGTTTCGATGCTGCTCATCCGCATCAAAGCGCTCCAGACAGCCTGCAAGGTCGAGGGGACGCTCTTCGGGGTGAAGGAGCTCCACATCATGTACGACATCTCCGAGGTCCGCTCGGAGGTGTGCGCGCGATGGTCAGAGAGAAGTGGCACAGGGACGACAGGTAAGTCGGCAAGTCGTCCCGCGCGGCTCACGCCTGTTTCCCGGTTCGCCCAGCTAACCCAGTCCTCGTGGAAACTGATGTGCAGGGATTGCGTCGACCGGCACCGCGGAACGCTCGGCGACACGTACACCACCGACCAGATCCGCCACCTCATGTTCAAGGTCTTGCCGACCTGGGCAGCTCGGGCGTACGAACCCAAAGCGGCCACCCCCTCCCAGACACTGTGGAAGTTTCTGCTGATGAAGACGATGACCCTCTTGGGTCACCACACCCTTCTCCGCGGAGCCAGTCTCCGAGCGATCGAGCTCCCCGACCTGTTTTTGTACAGAATGGGGAACGCGTCGCCCGAGCACTCCACGCGACGGCCGGTTGTCATGGTCGTCGCGTCACGAAACTCCAAGACAAACAAGGATGCTCGTCTGCATCACAGCTACGCGGCGAGACACCTGGAGCAAGAGATGTGCGCCGTCGGTCACACACTGTTGTGGCTGCACTTCGTGTACGGCCAGCTGAGCCGCTCGCCCACCTCTCGATGTGTGCCGCCCCTCGACTTCACAACTCCGTACAGCTGGTATCACAAGCACCTCTTTCATGCTCGGAACGACAAGGCACAAAAAGAGCTGCCGGCTTCATCTCATTCTCGGATCACGAAAGAGATGTGGCGGACGAACAGATCTTCATCACGCGCAACACCCACGCCGCCCGGGCGGGTGGGGCACAGGAGCTGGCCGACGACGGCGTTCCGCGATCTGACATCGCCGACTTGGGCCACTGGGCGCTCGACAAGCTCGCGAAGAGCTACATCACGACCATCCCGAAGGCGGCGGTGTTGAGAAAGGCCGGCTACACGGGCAAGCGCGGCGACTACCACCTCGGCCGGAGCATGGTGAAGCCCGACGACAAGGTTGTGGCCCTCATCGCCCAGCACATCTTTCCGTGGGCTGAAGCGGAACTGGCCAAGGTGAGCATTTCGGACGGCAAAAACGTCGACAACCCGCCGACCATTTCCACGACGACATTCTACCGACGGCTGATTGTGTTTGTGTTTGTGTTCGACTCGCAGGCGGTAAGGTGCGCATCCGCGAGAGAGCCCAACACGGCCGGGGTGCACTTCCTGCAATCGCTCATCGAGTTCGGCCGCCGAATCATCGCCGAGGATCTTGCGTGCATGCTGATGCGCGAACCGTGGCACCCGTACGTCCAGAGTTCCAAGCTCTGCCGCGACCCCGACTTCCAGAAATGGGCCAAGGACGTCAACCGGGTGGACCTCGAAACCATCGCGACGCGCAGTACTCCGAGCGAGAACCCCCAAGAGGTACGGCGTGCGCGTTCCGACGACCTGTAAAACAAGTCGTCCTGCCACATTGGCTCACCTTTTGCCGACCATCCCCCTTGGATCGCAGGAATTCAGCGCGCGAGTCGACGCCAAATATCAGGTCGGCCAGCTCACCATGATGATGCACCGCCAGAGGGAGGATGCCACGATGGAGAAGCTTGAGATGCAGAAGAAGTTGGAGGAGAAGGACGCGGAGATCGCGAAGTTGATGCAGGCTCTCAAGCTGGCCGAGGCACGGCCGACGCCGACTGCGCCGGCACAAGGCCGATGACCGCTGCCGAGAAGGCAGCGTCCGTTAAGATCGAGAAGGAACAGGACGATGACCTGACGTACGAGGTCAACGTCGTGCATCCCTAGCACACATCCAAGACGGTCGAGGCTGCATGGCGCTGGTGGAACAACCCGTCCAACTTCGACTCGCGTTCGTTGCGCGAACGTTACGACGAGCACAGATTCCTCGTCAGACACACGCGCATGATCTGCAAGGTCGAAAAGGGCGACAAGCCCGCCGCGTTGGGGAAGTCGGCAAAGAGCTCTCGTCCCACGACCGAGGTGGGTGAGACGGGGAAAAACGATGCGCTGCAGCACTGCACTCGCCGGATGAGGCGGATCATGGAAGCGGTGCACGACTTGCGGCGGAGCGACGACGCTGCTGACACCGTCGCCGTCATCAAGCTACTCGACCACCTGGGGCGAGCGGGGCTTTCCACTTTCAGCGACGCGCTCTTGGTCCTCCGTGCAACCCCGCCCATCAAGGTCCCCACCACAGCCGACGGAAAGTCGGTCGGCATCAAGGGTCTGGACAAGCCGCTGGCGAGGAAGCTCGCCGTTGCGTGGGGCATGGTCACGACGGGCTACATGGACGCTGACTGGGGAAAGAGGCTCTTCGGCGACTTGTGGGATGTGCAGGCCAATAAGGCCGGCTTGGAGGCCGAGGCGACGGCGGGAGCCATCGGCGCAGGGAAGCGCAAGAGGGCGGGCTGAGGGTACTGCGTCTGGGTCCGACTTGTGCTGCTGGCTGAGCGTGGTGTGACTGAGGGTGGGTTGAGGGCGGGCCGAGGGCGGGCTGAGGGCGGGCTGAGGGTGGGCTGGGGGGTGCTGAGCGTGTCCGACCTGTTCTAGTGATCCTATATGGTTTTCTTTTACTGCCAACGTTGTTTCGACTTGTAAATTAGTAGAAGTTTGTCTGTTGTCCATGCATCAAACCGACTCCATACCACAAAACCTACTTCACAGCGTTTTTGAAAAACTACCGACGAACAAGTTCAGCATCCCTAAGCCGGAGAGGCACAACAAAACAACAAAACAGCACCCGAAACACGTCGACCATGTCACGAGCGGTCGGGCCAGCGTTTGTAGGTCTTCGTCAGAAAGCTTGCAGCGTTTGCACCCACGCCGACCATGCTACGAGCAGGCGGGCCAGCCTTCGTCGACCTAGGCGTCGGCGACCTGCTTCCCTTTGTGCTGCTGCCCCCTCGCCCCCCTGTCCCGAATGATAATCTTCATCTGGGGTTCGATAGGCAAATCGACGCCGCGAGCCTTGAGCTTCGGGCCTCCGACATTGCAGTCCCCCCAGAAGGCGAGGTTCTCTATCATGACACGGGCGATCAGCTCGTCGTGCTCGCGCTCCTCCCCGACCTCAGCAGCAGCGACCTCACCACAGCCGCCTGCAGGTCCTTCGTCACCGTTTCGGCGACCTCCCTACGACGACCACCCAGGAGGCCGCCCGCTGAAGCACCGCCTCGATGACGGTCCCACACCGACTCGCGAACTCGTTGGACGCTCCGCGCACGGTCGCTGCTGCCCCCCTTCGCCGGCCGCTACTTCTGCCGTGGCATTGGTCTCCGAAAAACACCACACCGCGGCCGCAGTACCGGCGAGGATCTCGGACAACCGCTCCGACCCGACGCCCGAAATGGGCGTCACTTTCGCGGCCACCGGTGCGAAGGCGGCACACATCGAAACGCGTGCGATCATGTCGCTCGCCACCTTGTTCTTCGCGCGCGGTCGGCTCCGGTTATCCTGTTGTATTCCGCGACCACCTGTTGGAACCTGCGAAACACAGCAGGAATACCCACCGTCACCGACCGGCCCACGCGAACCGACCGAAACGAGCACCAAATTGAGCATTCGCCAAGCTTACCTGTCGCGGAAGACGTTCGCCCTCGGCTCCACATGACCATCCACATGCCCCCCGGGATAAATCGCGCCACATTCCAGTCCGCCTTATACTGCGCCATCACTTCCTCCTTGACCCCACCGAACTCGTCGAGAACCACGTCGCTGACGAAGCGTCGAACGAACGACGAAACGGCGACAGCGATGCAGTAGGCGGCCTCGGACTTGTCCATCGACCGGCAGATGTAACGGCTCTTCTTCCCAAACTTCATCTCCGAGACGGCCAGCCCATTTGAAGGGTCAACGCGGACGCCTGAACCCTTCTGACCCTGCGCGGCCGCTTTGGACGTCCCCTTGGAAGAGCCGACCTTCGCCGGGCCGCCCTTCGCCTTGTCCTTGCCCTTGCGCTTTTGCTTCCCATCGCCGACCTCACCGGTTGTGGCCGGGGGGGATTTGGCGCCAGCCGCGCTATGGTCCTCCGCAGGAGCAGTCGAGGCGGCTGGTGCACCCTGTTGCGCTCCCACGGTGGGAGCTGCTGCTTGTAGTTTTTCCCGCATGACCTCGATTTCCAGGTCTGGCATCACGATCCTGGCGAGGATCTCTTCGTCCACCCCGCCGGCCTCTTCCGCCGCTCTCCACACAGCCGCCTCCACCGTTGAGCCACTCGGCCTTGTAGTCGCCGCCGCGACGTTCGCTGCCTCTGCTCCTTGGTCGACCGCCTGGTTGCTGTGAGTCGGAGGAATTACCGGGGTTTTCTGACCTTGATCCTCGAGCCATTTCAGATACTCGTCGAACGATGGGTTTTGAGTGATTAGAGCCTCGACCGCCCGAGACTCAACAGCCGTTGGGATCGGGATCGGTTCCGCGGCGACCATGGCCCCATGAACGGGTAAGCTGGCCGCACCGGCAGCCTGCTGGACATGCTGTCCGACCACCGCTGCTGGGCGCAAGAGCTCGTCGACCAGCGCCGTGACACCACCCGGTCGCGCGTCACGTGCAGTGGCAGGACTCGTCGCGATGTGGGGATGCTGGCCCGCCGCGGCCTGCTGGACATGCTGTCCGACCACGGATGCTGGGCGCAAGAGCTCGTCGACCAGCGCCGTGGCGCCAGCCGGACGCGCGTCCTGTGCAGTCGCCAGACTCGTCGCGGTGGGGGGATGCTGGCCCGTACCTGGCGGCCCGCCCTGCTGTCCGACCACCGCTGCTGGGCGCAAGAGCTCGTCGACCAGCGCCGTGACGCCAGCCGGACGCGCGTCTTGTGCGGTCGGCGTGCTCGTCGACGGGTGAAGATGCTGGCCCGCACCGCGCGGCCCGCCCTGCTGTCCGACCACCGCTGCGGGGCGCAGGAGGTCGTCGGGCAGCTGCGCTGTGACGCCGGTCGGTCGTGCAGTCGGCGGACTCGTCGAGGGTTGAACATGCTGGACCGCAACGGGCTCCCCGCGCGCTTGGCCGACCACCGCTGCGACGTGCATGTCGTCTGCCATCTGGGCCGTGCCGCACTCGGTCGAGCGCCTTGTGCAGTCGCCGGACTGGCCTCGGGGTGTGGATGCTAGTCCGCCGTTGGCTGCCAGCCCTGTTTCGCGACCACGGATGCCTCTCCCATGAGCTCGTCGGCCAGACTCACCTGGTCGCAGCTCGGTGGCGCGTCGTGTGCGCTCGAGCGGATCGGTCGGGGCCTGTGGATCGCCACCAGGCTCAGCACCCCCAGGCTCAGCGGAGCGGATCTTCTTTGTGAAGAGGGAGCGCCACCAGGCTCAGCACCCCCAGGCTCAGCAGCCCCAGGCTCAGCACCCCTAGGCGCAGCACCCCCAGTCGCAGCACCTCCAGACTCGGCACCCCCAGTCTCAGCACCCCTAGTCGCAGCACCTCCAGGCTCAGCACCCCCAGTCTCAGCACCCCAAGGCTCAGCACCCCCAGGCTCAGCACCCCCAGTCTCAGCACCCCAGTCTCAGTACCCCTCTCAGGACCAGAGTCAACAGCTACCTCGACAGGCTCGACTGCGTCTACCTGGGAAACACCTGAGGGAGCAGGACCCTGTGGAGGGAGGGGGTCTACCGAAGGGGCACTGGGGTGAGGAAGAGAGGAGGGGGAGGGAGCGGAGCAGTGCGGTAGGGGAACACAAGGTAAAAGGGTACCGACTCGTCAAAGGTGACGTCCTGAGAGGGGAAGACACGACGCGAGGTGGGGTGGTAAAACTGCCAACCAGGCGCGTCAGGGACAAAGCCAAGGAAGACACAGGGCATAGCGCGGGCAGAGAGCTTGTCTGCAGTGGTATCGCGGACAAAGGCACGAGCACCCCAGACCCGGAAACGCGACGCATCGCCAACCTGCCCCGTCCACAGGAGTGTGGGCGAGGTCTCTGGAGCAGAGACACGGGGCCAGAGGTTGAGCTGATGCGCGGCGTACTGCACTGCAAACGGCCACAGGAAATGGGGGGCAGCCGCATGGATCATGGACGTACGAGCGACCTCCATGACTAGACCAATGCGGCGCTCAGCAACCCCATTCTGCTGTGGAGAGGCCGGAAGCGTGAACGTCTGGCGAATGTCGTGCTCCGCACAGTAGGCTGCCAAGAGGTCAAAGGAAAACTCACCACCTTGGTCAGAGTGCAGACGCAGGACAAGAAAGTCCGACCGGAACCGGTCGCGGAGCTGGAGACGAGCAGCGCGGATCCAAGGGATCAAAACATCAGGGACCTCACCCTTGGTGCGTAAGGGGAAGACCGTGGTGTAGCGCGTGTAGTCGCCGACAACCAGCAGGAAGTACCGCTCGTGGCCCTGTCCACGGACGCGGACTGGGCCCCACACGTCCAGGTGGAGAGTCTGCAGAGGAGCCTCTGTGGGAGGGAACGAGGAGGAGTGAGGAGCGGGCGCTGCCGCCCCTCAACACAGGGAAGACAGGGTGGAGCAGAGCGAGGGCAGGAGGGAGGGAGGGAGGGAGGAGAACCTGGGAAGACCGGAGACAAGGTACCGGGAGTGCATGCCACGAAGGCGCTGCACTGACGGGTGACCAAGACGGTGGTGCCAGAGAACTCTCTGGTGCGACAGGGAACGACATGAGCAGGGGGCCGACAGCTGACCTGACGCAGACGTAGACGCAGCTACCTGAGGGGACTCAGTGGTCAGTGTGTACAGGTCCGACCCCGACTGCCGAGTGAAGGTAACTAGGTGGCGACCTGTCCGAGCACACGTACAGTGGGTCACACGCTCATAGGCAGGGGTGAACTGGTGAAACCCCCATCCTGAAGAGCAGAGCCCGCCACCAAGTTCGTAGAGAACGAGGGGAGGTAAAGACCCGACAGGGTGCCGGACGGGACCGCAGGACAAGGGAGGACAGTGGAGGAGGTCGCAAGGACCGGGCCCCCAGAGGGGTCAGCGAGGGAGACAAAAACTGGCCGAGCTAGCTGCTCAAGGGCAGTGCGGTCACAGAAGAAACAGCGGGAAGCACCTGAGTCGAGTGTGAAGGTGTGCAGTGCCTCAGTAGACGCAGTACCAGCAAGTGCAGACGCACTAGCACCTAGAGCAGCAGCCTCACCAGGACCTAGGGCAGCAGACGCACTAGCTCCAAGAGCAGCAGCCTCACCAGGACCTAGGGCAGCAGACCCACTAGCACCTGGAGCAGCTGTCTCACTGGTCCCAATGCCCGGGTCGGGCGGTACACTCAGGTAGCAGTCACCCTCAACACTAATAGTCAATGCATACATGGCACCAAGGATAGCATCAAAGTCAAGAGCAAAGATATCAATGTTCTTCCTACGCAGATCAGCCCAGCGGGGCAGCTCAGTGGCGTCAAGAAACTGCTCACGCCAGGCATCGTCAAGACGAAAGAAGCAGCGGTGTGCCGTGTGGAACCTCCCACAGGATCTGGCCAGTGCGGTCACCTGTGCGGATGACGTACGGGCAGGTACCTCCACCCCCAGACCCCCCACGCTGAGAGTACCACTCACGGAGTTGCTGGGGCGAGGGAGTCTTGCCGGGACGCTGCTGCTGCTGCCTCTGGCCACCGCCGAACCCCCCACGCTGCACCGCTCCACCGCGCCCGCCACCCGCTCCACCGCCGCCACTACTGCCACCACCGCCCCCACCACCCCCACCACCTCCGCCGCCACCACCCCCTGTGCCGCCACTGACCCCCCCACCACCCGCGCCACTCCCACCTCCGCCACCACCCCCGCCCCCCCCACCCCCTCTACCGCCGCCGCCCCCGCCTCCACCTCCGCCACCCCTGCCCCCTTGCCCCTGCCGCCCTTGCGCCTCCCACTAGGAGCAGACGCAGCCCGACCCCCTCAGCTCCAAGGTAGTCGACAGCAGCAGCAGATGCAATGGAGGGGAGGAGGGGGGAGGGGGAGCACCCCTCAAAGAAGGGGAGCGGGGGTCACCACGAGAGGCACCTACAGCTACAATGCTCTTCTCAGCTGCTAGGAGTTCCTTCTCGAGGAGGTCGAGAGTGAGGTCAGTGGGGGAGAGGGCGAGAAACTGGTCCCTGACAGTGCGAAGGGAGTCAGGGAGGTGGGTGACTAGGTGGTACAGTGTGAGGTACATCGGGGGGGGTTCTTGGCGAGGAAATCGGGGGGAGCGCGACACGGTAGCGGAGGTCACTGGTACGGAGGTGGGTGATGAGGTCAGCTATAGTGGCAAAGGCGGACAGGTCGGGGAAGAGGTAGGGCAGTGAGAGACGGCCTATCGCAGCAGTGGCAGGGGAGGAGTAGCGCGCAACTACCGCATCGTACAGTTCCTTAGCGGTCTTATGCTGGCCGAAGTGCTCGCGCTCATCTAACGGCAGGTGGCTGCGAACGGCTAGGCGAGCGTGAGCATCACGGATCTGCCACTGGGAGCAAGCAGTACTGTCAGCAGTAGCGGCAGGTGCGGGAGCGGCGCATGACGTGTGGTCATAGAGGGAGAAATTGTCCTTGGCAGTGATCTGGAGGAACAGGTGCAGGTCATCTAACCAAACCTCAAACTTAATCGGGCGGCCCTCAGCGTCAAAAGTAAGAACAGAAGGACTGGCCATAGTGGCGTAAGTAGTAGCAGCAGTAGGAACAGTAGCAGTAGTAGCAGTAGCAAGAACAGTAGCAGCTGAAGCAGTAGTATTTCCTGGAACAAGAACAGGAGTTGCTGCAGGTGGGGCACAGTAGGGCGGCGCGGCTCGGCCAGGGCGGCTCGGCTCGGTTTGGGCGGCGCGGCTCGGTTTGGGCGGCGCGGCTCGGTTTGCGCGGCGCGGCTCGGTTCGGGCGGCGCGGCTTGGCTACGCGGCGGTGCGCAACGGGGGAGGCGTGCACGTGGGCGGCCTGTAGCGGGCGGGTCGCGGCTGTGCGTGGGCCTGACTAGCGCGCGGACGGCGGCCTAGAGGGGCGACGCGGCGGCCTACGGGTGGGGCTGCGACGCTCTGGGCAGCGGTCCACGGGCGGCTAGGGGGGGGGCTGCTCGTGGGCGGCGGTGGTCGCGCGGGCGGCTCGGGGTGGGCGCGCGCTCAGAAAAGGCCGCGCTAGGAGGTGACAAGCTGTCACACTCAAAGGGCTGCAAGTGATGTTAAGTGTTGCCAAGTTAAGCTCGTAGTTCAAGCTTTAATCGCTTCCGCATAACGTTATAGCTGTCAACAACAGGCACCCTCAGCACTAGTAGACAATGCATATATGGTAGTGAGGATAGCATCATAGTCAAGAGCGAAGATATCCACCCTCTACCTAAGCAGCTCCAGCCAGGTGGGGACCTCAGCCTCGTCGCCGAACACGGTACGCCAGGCGTCGCTCAGGCAGGCGAAGCAGCGGGACAGTGTGTGACCCATTGCACCGCAAGTCTGACCAGTCGATCACCTGTGCAAATGACGTACGGGCAGCGAACGGTACTCCGAGACCCTCGACTCTGAGCGTACCACT